TAAGGCTTACTGGCCTATAGTTGCCCGACTCCTTCCTATTACCTTTCTTGTAAATGGGCACAACATAAAAGCAGTAAAAGCAAAAAAATTAAGAAACCACTGTGGTACTCCGCAGATGTGGCCAAAATAGTAAAAAACAAAAAGTTAGCATTTAGTAATTATAAAAAAAAACAAAGTGAGGAAGACAGACAGATCTATAAGATTAGGCAGAAAGAGACTAAGCAAATTATAAGAGCCTCCAAAACACACACAGAAGAGATAATAGCACAGTCAGTAAAAAAGGGGGATAAAACATTTTTAGATACATAATAAAAACAAAATTAGTATCAGCGCTAAGTGAATATACCCCAATGTAGTAAACACAGGGTTCAACCCAAAAATGTCTTGTCCATCAAACAGTTCCAATTTCAGTCTTAATTGAGGGTACTTCCAAGCAATTTACAGGGATTAGTTGCTGCAACAGTAGCATATATGTAAAATCTGTGTCTTTATATGTATCCAAACCTTAAAATAGAAAAGATACTGACATAGCGTAATACTGTTACAATTTTATTACCTAAGTGAAAAAACCCCCATAAGAAAAACTCTTACAATATAATGTTGTGAAGCTTATCTCTAAGTTTCACAATAAAGCACAATTCACACAGAGTGTTAAATGGAAGAGTTACTTGCTGTCGCTCCGTGAATACAGATCTTTCTGAACCGTCCTGTGCACTTGGATTGGTCCCTCACAAGAACGCCGGCTTCCAGGCACTGCTGTGATTGTTGTAGATTTAAAAGTCCCACCAGACACACGATCTACATGTTTCGCTCGTTAAACCAAGCTTTTTCAAGCTTTTTTTTTTTTTTATAAAGCTTGGTTTAACGAGCGAAACATGCAGATAACTGTATTATTCTTGACGTGCGCTCTCTATACTGTGTTTTTTTATTTTTAGATACATAAATGAGAAAAGGAAAGTAAAACAAGGATTAGTTAAAAACAAAAGAAGGAATGTATGTAGAAGAGGATAAAGGCCTAGCTTATTGCCTCAATTAATATTTCTGTTCAGTATTTACAGATGAAAATGAAGGAAAGGGCCCTCAGGTAGGAAAAAGGACAAATGAGTCATTTGTTACATGTGAGTATTTCAACTGTCAAAAGTAAAGACAAATAAGTTGATGGGGCCTGATGCGATACACCCAAAGTTATTAAAAGCAGTTAGTGGTGTACCAGCAAAACCATTAACAGATTTATTTAACCAATCATTGTTAACATTAGTAGTCACAGAAGATTGGAAATTAGCAAATGTTGTACCCATTCACAAGAAAGGTGGTAGGGAGGAGTCGGGCAACTATAGGCCAGTAAGCCTTACTTCAGTAGTTGGGAAAGTGATGGAAACCATGTTAAAGGATAGGATTGTTGAACATCTAAAATCACATGGATTTCAAGATCAGAGACAACATGGGTTTACTTCAGGGAGATCATGCCAAACTAATCTAATTAATTTTTTTGATTGGGTTACTAAAATAATAAATCGGGATGGTGCAGTAGACATTGCTTACCTAGATTTCATGACAAAACAACACAATATAGACACTACTAGGGTGAATATCAAGTATAAGAATACGTAACTTAAAAATTACAATACAGCCTCCCAAGATCGCTACCCACAGAAGACGACCTTTTCAATGTATAGACAACAAGAACACAAATATGCGGGATACGGCTGAAACAAAACTAAAAGGAACATAAAACATATAGATAGTGCAGTACAGTTAGCACAATCAATTATCCTCTATACATAGGTGCACTCACGAGATTGTGTAGAATGTATCGCTCTGAGGGTGCCTCCCCCGATGTAGTGGGGGGCTAGTGCTCCCTTTCTTTGTTATGAAGTAGCCAGTTGTATTCAGGACTTTAAACGGGTGATGGTAGAAAAACGATTATTTTATTGATAAAAAAGGTGAACAATCACCATCAATATAAAATAGAATATGAAGGAAATATAAAGGGAATCAACACAGTAAAAGAGGAGACTATATTTAAAAGAAGAAAAACTACCACAACAAGAGGACATAGTCTTAAATTAGAGGGACAAAGGTTTAAAAATAATATCAGGAAGTATTACTTTACTGAGAGGTAGTGGATGCATGGAATAGCCTTCCAGCTGAAGTGGTAGAGGTTAACACAGTAAAGGAGTTTAAGCATGCGTGGGATAGGCATAAGGCTATCCTAACTATAAGATAAGGCCAGGGACTAATGAAAGTATTTAGAAAATTGAGCAGACTAGATGGGCCGAATGGTTCTTATCTGCCGTCACATTCTATGTTTCTATGTTTCTAAACGGTATGGTCCTACGCGTTTCGTTCTGCGAGGAACTTCATCAGGGGCCGCAGTAATCAATCAAATCAGTGAATGATGGAGATCTCTAATATATTTAGGAACATTTTTTTTAGATAAATGTAATGTCTTTTTTTTTTATTAATTATCTAACACTGGTCACTTTCAAATCACTGATGTTTATTTTAGTTTATATCATGGTTCACATAAAGTATTGTATAATTAAATACTGATACATGGTTCTTATATTAATTGTATTATTTTTCAATGCCTGTCACTTTAAATGATTATCGATGTTTTTCACTTTAAAATCTGACTCCTATGGAATCACTATATGAGTGACCATGGAGTATGAATATATATTGTGTATTTCACTATAAGCCTGTTATAAGAAATCCAATTCCTATATGGTCGTTAACATTCCTCTTTCTTTAGTAGATAAAAATTGTATTGCTTTGTATTGACTTCAACGATCATTTAACACCTTCCAATTTAACACCATTGAAGTGGAACGCAGATGGAATGCAGGTGGAACGCATCTGAAACGCGGAAGTATTGAATCATATGTACTTCCGGTTCCGGCAATCTGAACGCGCCAAATTCGATTACAACAAAACTATAGAGAGGACAAACAGCTTACAAGATTCCCTGCTGAACCAATGAGGTTATGGATGACCAGAGCCACCCACGAATCCACCAATGGACATAAGGATTAGCTCTATTTAAAGGGACTTGGGGATGGGGGGAATAGGATATGTTTTTTACATGTTGTGAATTTGTACACTGATTTTATTGATTACTGTGGTCCCTGATGAAGTTCCTCGCAGAACGAAACGCGTAGGACCATACCGTTTTTCCTTCATAGTCTATTTTATATTGATGGTGATTGTTCACCTTTTTTATCAATAAAATAATAATTTTTCTACCATCACACGTTTGAAGTCCTGAATACTACTGGTTACTTCATAACAAAGAAAATGATTACTAGAGCGATACATTCTACACAATCTCGTGAGTGCACCTATGTATAGCGCATAATTGATTGTGCTAACTGTACTTCACTATCTATATGTTTTATGTTCCTTCTAGATTTGTTTCAGCCGTATCCCGCATATTTATGTTCTGGTTACCCAGATTTCAGTAATGCTTTGACACTGTTCCACATAGAAGGCTCTTCAATAAACTGCAATCTTTAAGTTTGGATTGCAATATTGTTGAATGGGTTAGGCAGTGGCTAAATGATAGACAACAGAGGGTTGTAGTCAATGTATATATGCAAAGCAAGGTCTAGTTACCAGTGTTACCTCAGGGATCTGTACTTGGACCCATTCTCTTTAATATTCTATTAGTGATATTGCAGAAGGTCTTGATGGTAAGGTATGTCTTTTTGCTGATGATACTGAAATTTGCAACAGGGTTGATGTTCCAAGAGGGATAAGCCAAATGGCAAATGATTTAGAAAAATTAGAAAAATGGTCAGAGTTGTGGCAACTGACATTTAATGTGTATAAGTGCAAGATAATGCATCTTGGACGTAAAAATCCAAGGGCAGAGTATAGGATATTTGATACCCTACTAACCTCAACATCTGAGGAAAGGGATTTAGGGCTGATTCTTTCTGACGACTTAAAGGTAGGCAGAAAATGTAATAACCAAAGAAAAAAGTTACCTGCGCTCTCTCCTTAATCCCTATGTATATTTAAACAAATGGAGGTCATTTAGTTACTCCAATGGCCACTGGAGGGAATGCCCACCTGTCAACGTCAAGGCAGACCCCCCTTGACGGGTCCTACTCTGACCCTTTACCTTGCTTCCTTGAGCTTCTGGCAAAAATATCTCTAATAAGACAGAAAGGGGTATTTTTTTTATATATACACCCCTACTATATACTTGTTAACCCTTAATGTTAAAAATATTTTTAAATTAGAGGGCAAAGGTTTAAAAAAAATTTCAGGAAGTATTACTTTACTGAGAGGGTAGTGGATGCATGGAATAGCCTTCCAGCTGAAGTAGTAGAGGTTAACACCAGTGAGGGAGTTTAAGCATACGTGGGATAGGCATAAGGCTATCCTAGACTTAAGATAGGGCCAGGGACTAATTAAAAGTATTTTGAAATATTGGGCAGACTAGATGGGCCGAATGGTTCTTATCTGCCATCACATTCTATGTTTCTAAGGTCACTATGAGTATTTTGTCATGCCCTTCGGCCTATGTAATGCCCTGGCCGTATTTCAGGATTTCATTAACGATGTTCTCAGAGACTACATTTATACTTTTGTATTAGTATATCTGGATGATATTCTCAATTATTCCCCCGATTTTCAGACTCATCATAGGCATGTGAAGCAAGTATTGCAAACTTTGCTTAAAAATTGTGCTGTATTGCAAACTTGAGAAATACATACTTGATCAGACAGAGGTATAGTTCTTGGGATATAATATTTCAGCCTCTGGTTTTCAGATGGACTCTTGCAAACTAGAAGCCGTTCTACACTGGCCATTACCTAATGGGTTAAAAAGGTTTATTGGGTTTGCAAATTACTATAGGAGATTCAGCAAAGGTTTCTCTACTGTGATGGCCCCTATCACCAATATGACACGTAAGGGGGTTAACTGTACTATATGATCCAAAGACGCGAGATAAGCTTTTGAGCTTCTTAAGAAATTATTCACCTCTGCTGACATATTGGTACATCTTGACACTAGAAAACGCTTCATACTAGAGGTAGATGCCTCTGAGACAGGGGTAGGGGCGGTTCTTTCTCAGAGGGAGAGAAATCCTTGTGGGTTCTTTTCTAGAAAGTTGTCACCAGTGGAGTGTAACTATGATATTGGTAACAGAGAATTGTTGTCTATTATACTAGCTCTGAAAGAATGGCAACATCTTTTGGAAGGTTCCAAGGATCCCCTCCTGATCATAACTGATCACAAAAACTTGGCATACATTGGAGATACTAAAAGGCTCTCTTCTAGACAAGCCAGATTGTCATTGTTCTTGTCACGCTTTAACTTTATCATCACGTACAAACCAAGTCCTAACATTTTAAGGCTCATGCCCTATCTAGGCAATTTGACAGAGTCAGAACAAGAACAAGAGACTTCCCCTATTGTTCCACCTGAGTGTATCATTGCCTTAACTGTCCTTTCCTTGTCTTCTCCTCTTCTTTGTGCTATTATGGCGGCTCCGTCTCAGGCACCTATTGATAAACTTCAAGACAGATTGTTTATTCTGCTGCTAGAAAGAAAGGAGGTACTAAGAGTGTTTCACGATAATGTGACAGCTGGACATCCGGGTATTAATAAAACTGTATCCGCTGTATCAAGATCGTTTTGGTGGCCTTCTCTTAGAAAAGACATCAGAGAGTATGTGGAGGCCTGTACTGTTTGTGCGGTTTCTAAGGTTCCCCATAAACTACCATGTGGGTTATTACAACCACTTCCTATACCCAGTGTTCCATGGTCTCATTTGTCTATGGACTTCATTATGGAACTCCCAATTTCTAAAGGCTATACCACCATCCTTATGGTGGTTGATCACTTTTCAAAAATGGCACGCTTTGTTCCCCTCAAAGTTACCTTTTTCCCAAGATCTGGTTCTTATATTTATATGCGAAATTGTCAGATTACATGGTATTCCAAAAAATATTTTTAAAAAAATAATTATATTTGCGATGTTTCATTAATGGCATGCAGGAAAACTGATCTGACTTGCTACCTTGGGCCGAATTTGCCAGGAATAATGCTACCCATGACTCATCTGGACATAGTCCATTTTTTGTCAACAACGGTCGTCATCCTACTGTTCTTTCTCCGGTGTTCTCTGACACTGCTATTTCTGCTCTGGATGAACATCTCGCATGTATATGTGAGATTTGGACGAAGGTCCACATGGCTCCTGAAACTGCTGCAGCTTGTTTCAAATTTCATTCTGATAAGCGGCGTGGTGCCAACTCTGTTTACCGGGTAAATGATCAGGTATGGCTCACCTCGCGAAATATCAGACTCAAGGTTCTTGGCATGAAGTTTGCAGGTTTATTGGTCTCTTTTGAATTGTTCGGAGACTCAATCCTGTTTCATATTCTCTTGCACTTACTGCCTCCTTGCGTGTACCGAATTCATTTCATGTATCTTTGCTTAAGCCTCTTATCTGCAATAGGTATACTGTCCCTTTTGTCCCTCCTCCTCCTTTGGTTATTGCTGGACGGGAGGAGTACGAAGTCTCCTCCATAATTGATTCCAGATTTTTCTCATGGTTCTTTGCAGTACCTGACTGATTGGAAGGGTTATGGGCCTGCTGATCGTTCTTGGGTTCCTGTTTCTGATATAGAAGCAAAATCCGTTCTTTCCACGCCAAAATTACCTCTTAAAAATTACCTCTTAAACCTGGTCCGGTGGGCAGTCTTCAAGTGGGCGGTAATGTCACATATCCTTCGTATCCATATGGCAAAAACTGAGAAAATTACCTTCCGAAGATTGAGGGGAGTGGCGCTCGGTGGTCTTCTGCCATGATGCCTGGCTTGTGACCCACACAATTATATAGCCCCACATCCGTCCAGGGTAAAGATGCAGGTGACGTCGCTTGTCGAAAGTGCTACTCTATAAAGCCATGCCTCCTCCGTGATGTCGCAAACAGCCTCGGCACTCGAAAAATGTAAATAAACTTTTTTTTTTCTTTTTTTACATTTTAATGTACCCAGTGTGTGGTAGGAACCTGAATAAGAGTAGGAACACTGTAGTGTTAGAAATACAGATTTGTATTCCTAATGCTATAGTGTTCCTTTAAAACACATGATTTATTTTTTTTATTTTTTTTGGCAAAGAAAGCAGTAATGCTTGTCTGGGAGGAGTGAGAAATACACCTCCTTAAAAAATGATCATGCCTCATGCTGTAAAGTTAATTACTTTATATCACTATGGGCTGCTGTTAACCTCAAGTTTTATATGAATACTTCATTAAAATTAGCTTATATTCCTGAATATTAAAAGGTTATAGATAAATTATTACTACAGAATAAGATTATACCACATAGATCTAAACAATACTACTTACAGGTATTAAATATTTTCTGGTACAGCCAGAGGCTGTGTAACGTACAGAGCATTTAGAGATTGGTAGAATATACAAAATGTGTATCAATCTAATAACTGCAATAGCATGTGTAACCAGCTTACACTGCCTGGACCTCATGGCCCATTATAAAAGTATTAGGTCTGTGTTCCTTTTCTCAATTTTAATCAGTTTTATTTCTGCATGCTAGTACAAACTACTGATATAACATAACAAAAATATACACAAAAAGCAAGCAATAATCAGTAAATGGTGGTGAAATGATTTTATGAGCAGTGTCTGAATGCACCCAGGTTAATAGTCTAGGGGGTGCCAATTTCTATATATAGAATTTGGTGAAAATTATAAGACATTCAGTCTCAGCATACAAAATTTTGCAAGCGATAAAACCTTTAGTTTATATTAAAAAAAATACCTTTTGCGGAAAATAGCATACCGGGAACAGTGACATAAAACCACGCTAGACAAAGGCACATATAAACAACTGGTCACAGCCAGGGCAGACCTGAATTCACACCTCTCCCAAAAGATCGCCTTCCTATTCCGCTTGGCCCAAAAAGCATTCTATGAATATGGAAACAAAAGCGGCAGAATGCTAGCGAAAGCCTTGAGGAACCTGACCTGGACCAGATTGCTTCACCATCAAATACTACAGAACCTACTTCAAAACCCTTCAAAATCCCTTGACCCTAGCACGTCACTGGCACACATAATGGTGGTGCCGAAGGAGGGTAAAGACCCCACAGCGTGGCAAAGCTACAGGCCAATCTCCCTGTTGAATGCTGACCTGAAACTATTTGCAAAGATTCTAGCTCTCCGCATCCAACATATTTTACTGAAACTGATCCACCTGGACCAGGTGGGGTTGGTCAAAAAAAGGGAAGCCAGGGATAACACTACCAAAGTAATCAACTTGATACATGCAGCTCGGACGAGATCTTCGCTCTCACTCCTGGTATTCGTAGATGCGGAGAAGGCGTTCAACAGGGTAGATTGGACCTTCCTGTTTGTGACATTACAACAGCTGGGATTTGGCCCGAACATGCGGGCATAGATCGAGGCCTTGTACAATGATCCGTCGGCATGGGTATACATGAATAGCACACTGCCACGCCCATTCCCGATACGAAATGGCACCCGACCCTCTTTCGCCACTGCTGTTCGTGTTAAGCCTGGAACCCTTTCTAAATGCAGTGCGGGAATGGCCAGACATTGTCGGAATAGGCAGCAAGTGGGGACAAAGCAAGATCTCTTATGCTGACTACTTACTCTTCACAATTCAGAATCCACAATCTTCACTCTCTGCCATTATGCAGGAATTCAAAACATATAGCTCTCTCTCAAATCTCCGAATGAATTATACAAAATCCGAAATATTGCACCTTGGATGTGATCGCACCTTGATCACATCTCTGAAGACGCAATTCCCGTTCCAATGGTGTAAAGACGCGATCAAGTAGCTAGGCGTCTGATTCACCGCAGACATTTCTCATACATTCAGACACAACCCTCCTCTTCTTGAACGCGCACTTAAGAATCTGAAGGAATTGTCAGAGTGAATGTTCTTAAAATGAACGTACTCCCACGCATTTTATATTTGCAATAGACGCTCCCGATCTTCGTCCCCCAGACCTTTTTCACTCAGATACGCAGGGCTTTCACGAAATACGTATGGCGGAGTTGGATGGCCAGGATAAAATACGACATTCTAATAAAATACAAGGCAGCCTGTGGCTCCCCGACCTGGTCAAATACCACCAAGCTATCCACCTACAGCGCATTGCCGAATGGTCACTAGCACCAAAAGATAAACTTTGGATTGCCATAGAGGCCAACTTCTCAGCACTGCCGCTACACACACTTCCTTGGCAACCCCCACGAACGGAGAGTGGACAGGAGAGGGGCCACCCCACAATAACTACCACCCTAAATGTGGAGGAGGATATCAGCCTGTCCGGACCTTTCACCATCTGTCTACCCCCCGTACCCTATCTGTCACGATTCGGGGAACCAAACACGCCAACACACACACACACACAAAGTGCCGTACCGGACCTTAGAGTGGCCGGGCTAAGCACACAAAGAATAGTCAGGAAACAAGCCGAGTAAGGGGAACCAGAAGACAGAATAACGATAGACAAGCCGAGGTCAAAGGGTAGGAGAAAGTCACAAAGTCGGATAACAAGCCAGAGAGTACGTAACCAGAAGCACAAGTTCAGAATCAATACTAACAAGCAAAGACCACAACAGGGCGAAGAGGAACAGGAAAGGTAAGTATATAAATCCAAAGGTTAATTCTGATTGGATAATTTCCAATCAGAATTAACAATCACACGTGGGAGATATCTAAACCTCCCACTGTGATTGAGGCACTGTGCCTTTAACGCCGGGTCAGGTGACTGACCCCGGCGTTGGTTAAAGTGGGCGGTCTCCCAGCGTGCAGCGTCATGCATGCTGCCGCTGGGAGACACAGAGGAAGAGGCGGACGGCACCCGTGGGAGAGAGGGTGCCGCCCGCCGAGCACACGGCTGAAGGGGGACCGCGGACGGCTGGAGGGTGAGTGCCGCGAGCGGACTGCAGCCTCCCCTCGCAGCCGCCCGCGGGACCCTGACACTATCACAGGCAACCTGTCATTCCGCATCTTCGACTCGGCAGTCAGGAACTGCCTTGGACAGCCATCACCCTGCAGACTCTAGCATGTGATAGCAAATGGTAAAATCATGCCAATATTAATACTGCCTACACCTTCAAACTTGATGACAAACATCAGATACCACCAGTTAGTCTGCCTGCTGAAACAATTACCAAACCTATCATCAGCAACCACTAACCATATTT